CATGTTGTTGGTCTCTGTCTAGAGACTCCAACATGGCGCTAATGGCGAACTCGCCTACGGTAGAGCTCATTCGTTCTACCGCACCCCATTCGATGTCACTCAAATGGGTAAACCCTTCACGCGTGGCGTGAAAGGTCTCTTCATCATCCAACATGAACATGTTGGATGTTGTAGTCCTTGGAAGGACCAACAAGTGCTACCAGGTGGAACGGGGCACACCCTTGCGTGAACTTAGCGCAAGGGTTTTGGGTGCCCCGACAGACGTACACGAGGCGAACGAGGAAGCGTAGGATAAGGAGAAAGTAAAACTGTTGTATTAATATAATTAAGTCTTTTAACTACTGTCTCTCTGTTTGACTTAACTCAATTATGCTAATGTAACGGAGTGTATGGTGGCGTCTCGTCACCACTCATTGCGCGCGTCTTGCGGCGATTGGTGAATTATTATCATCAAGATATCAACCAATGAACAGACTCTTTGGTCGACCCTTCAATATCACCACTTTGGTGATATTGTTCAAAGAATATTCAATTAATATTCTTTATTGTCATTGTTTCTTTAATGACAATTTCCATGTAACGGGCTGGCCCGTTGCAGGTGCCCTATACACGACAATGATTCGTAGTTACCAGTCACTAATCTTCAACATGCTAGTGGCGCTTCAATCGCATCTATAGAGAGACCAGTGAGATCTTGCGTACTATCCGCATGCATGATGTCGATGATTGGGCGCGTACAACGGAGCAGCAGCTTACGTCGAGGAGAATTTTTAGCGTCGCAACGTCCTTCTAAGTATCCTCAACTTCGATCAAGAGATAATCGTGATAAAGTGTGTATGTCAAAAGCTGATCGCTGTGCTCGTTGCAACTGCTGCTGGCTAATACTACCAAAATCAGTGGAAATCGGTGTATGTTAGACATCGTTGTGTAGGTTGACAAGCTTGTGGTGTCATGTCGAGTAAATGGCATATTACGGAAGAAGCTGATGTGAGCGAAACTTGCAAGCATCATCTCAATGCATCTTGCGGTAATGATTACGCAATGAATGAGCAGAACGACTAGTAATGTCCAGTGCACGCGCACACTCGTGGCGCACATATAGAATGCAGAGCTGTATAATATCACTTTGGAGACCACCATAAGATTGCACAACCGTTAGGTTTCAGTTTACAGCACAGCGAGCAAGCGTTGTCACTGCAGCCACCTAAGTTTTGCCAAGAAGAACAGTGATAACTTGCGTGCATGCAGCACCTTCTACAGATCGCCATTTTCTATATGTCGAGTTGCTATCCTGTCAACGAGGCAATCACTGGGTGGCCACGCGGACACGCTAGTCATACATGATCAGTTTCAGGTATGGAGACACCACGACGGTAAAGCGCTATCATAAGTGGTGAACGTTGTCACTCGATGCCTTGTACGATGAGGCAACATGAAGTCACAGTGCACGCTGCACACCAGTCACAGTAGCAGTACAAGTACCTCTCGGCAATCGCACCGATGAGCTCTTCACTTGCTATGCGTGTCATGTTGCTTCGCCGTGCATTGTACACTGGTACACGGAAAGTGAGGACCATGTTCTAGTAGGTTGCAGATGAGTAACTGGCGGGATGCACGCACTTGCACGAGCTGATCTAACTCGCGCAAATACGATTGATTGGGTCAATGTAAAGCTGTTGGCTGCTTGTCGTCGCATGCGCCGACCGCATCACACATTCTGCCACAAAGTATGTCCTCTCGACGCATCGTAATCGAAACCTGACCCTCACAAAGTCCCGATTTCTATCGCAACGTTACGGTATCTGCGAAAAGCACGCTCAGCAGGTCAACCCCGAAAAAAAGACCCCGAAGAGAAAATGCGTTTTATATAAACTCACGTCAGCAGTCCGTTTTTTGCGACAAAACAAAGGGCGCAATCCTCGGTGCAGATACCGGTACATGTCAGTCAAGCAGTGGACATACCCTTTCCACAATCCGAAATACATCCAAATACAAGTTTCCGGTCGTCATTTCACGATCGACCGCGTGCAGTCGTAGCCCAACTGCTGTTGCACTCGCTCCCCGCTGCCGCCGTCGTTGATTCGCCGCCGCCCGAACCGAACACGTTTCAGCCACTCATATTTCGACTCTCCGCCCCCTGACACGGCGCAGGTCACTCACTCACTGTCGACCGCAGCGCTCAGTCGGATCAGGTGGTCCTCCACTTCTTCTACTTTTTTCTTCTTTTTCTTTTTCTTTTTCTTTCTTCTTCGTTCTACTAACTTCCAACTATTGTGCCCAATATTGTCCCAAACGCACATACTCACCGACGCACTCACATCTTCCCAACAGTCTAAAGGCCGTCCGACCTTCGGCCGCCTCCTGTAGCAATGGCAATCGGACCACTGCCATCCGACGACTTAGTCCTCGAGTACAATTTGCTGCACCTCGTGGACGATGGAGACAGTGCGTCTGGCAACATGTACACTGGAACGCCCACGTCTTCCGCGGCCGGTGCCCACGTGGACGACCCACTGCCCAATTGCGCTCTGGGCCCAAGTCGCATGTCGGCAGCGCCTTCCGCGTCGTGTGCGGCGTTCGCCAGTGCCCCAGGGAGCGCCTGCTGCTCGTCCGCTCTTTCGGTGGTCCACACGAAAGAAGGCGAGACCATCACGCCGGACGAAGTTGCTGCGTTCCTATTGGACGGCGAGCAGTTCCTGCACGACTTGGACAAAGTGGATACACTGGACTGGACGGATGTGAATCAGACGCATCAGATGGACATCGAGCCCAGTGATGGGGTCATCGATGAGCTCGAGACGTTCACCGACTTGGAAATGGAGTCGTCGCCGTGTCCGAGCACGTGTCCGAGTTCCATGGGCGGACGGTGGAGCGTTGTCGACGCAGATGAGCTCGAGGGCGTGGGGTACCAGTCCATGGGCATGACGGAGAAGTCGGGGACGAAGGGGATGGGGGAAGAGGCGGCAATTGAACTGGAACATCCAGTCGATGGGCTGTCGAGGGAAGGCGGACGACCTTCTGTGTCTCGGCCTCTGCTTGGCCGCGCTATGGAATTGATGATGGGCGTACCGGAAACGGTGTCGCACAGTGGTTTGAGTAGTGGTGTATCCGTTACACCATCATCTTGTATACCAGAGGAGGAGGAGGAGGAGGAGATGGGCGACGAGGAGATGGACGAGGAGGACGAAATGGAGGTATGCAGCTGTTAACGAGCGAGATGGTCGAGACGTGTCATGAGGCGTGCAGGACTTCTTATGATTTGTTGTTGTTGTTGTTGTTGTTGCGCAGGACGAGATTAACTTGCTGGCGAAAGAAGTGAAATACCTGGACGCTCAGAAGGACTTTTTGCACTCTCGTGCTAAGTCAAGTCGCGTTCGACGCAAGAGTGTGAAGCAACGCAGCTCGTGTGGTAATCACCGGTCGACGCTGGCAAAAAGCCAAGAGAACAATCAGCTTTTGAACGAACTCGTTGCGCAGCAAAAGGTGTACCAGGACAATTTCAAGGCTATGTTGGCGTTCGCTCCAGTAGTTGACGTGGTCAGTTTGATGATTGATGACTTTCGTGCGTTAGTGTTATAGATGTCTCACTGCAACTTTTGTTATGTTGGTGCGCAGCGTATGGCTTTGATGACTCCCATTGAGTCGTACATCCGGCTTGGCAAGGACTTTAATGAGCGGAGAGAAACCATCTTATCCCTGCGTGAAGAGAAGCTTGACATGACGTACAAGTTCATTGAGCAAAAGGCTGCTGGCATCGATATTAATGAGCCGTACCAGTACTCAGACATGTTTGAGAAGTTCGGCAAACGCTACTCTGTGGACTTTGCCATCTCCAAGTATGATGGCGTGACTGTTTTCCAGGTTGGTCGCGCCATTTACGAACAAATTGCAGGAAAGAATGAGGCGCTGAACAGTGTTATGGGAAGCACAACGACACGCGAGGTACGGTCGACCATTGACTACGTCTTCTTCTTGTGCTCACGCTGCATACTGTTGCTTGATGTGTAGTCCTTCGATACGATAAAGTGCAACTTTATGCACCAGCGTATCGTCTCGAGCATGAAGTGGGAGGGCGAAGATGCGGACAAGATGCCTGACATGGAGTCGAACGCTATATTCTACTGTCGGTTTGGTGACAACTCGGCTGTCTTAGCAACAGATTATATTGACCAAGACGACCTGCACCCGTATGACACATCAAACTGCATCCGCAAGGACGTATCAAGCGGCGTGGTGCTGTCGGGTCACACAGATGCCGATGGTAACAAGTTCGTGGTGATGAAGCGCTATTTGATGGCCAAGTACCACATGTATCCGCACAATGTGTCTCAGAAGCAGCAAGATCGGTATTTCGCGAGCATGCCGAAGTGCCAGGATAGCATGAAGACGCTGATCGTGGACAGTCTCCAGCGCGACGGACCTTGCTGTCCGTGCTATGCCAAGGATTGAGCGGCCAATTGACGTGATCATTTCTTGTACGCACTGCCCACTGTGAGCCCGCGGACTTGTGGTGTACGGACCCAATGCTGCTGATCTCCGCCGGTGTTGCCAAGATTTTTACTTGCGCGTTGTGCGTGTCGGAGAAGCAAATGGTTCTCGATTCGCGCTACTGCCGACGGGTTGTCGAGGATTAGTGGGAATTCGAAGACATGTGTGTGGCTTTTGATCATCCTATGGTAGCCGCTCTTGATGACGAGTGATTGTATACCGAGCGCTGTAGCTCAAATAGATAAAGTCACGTGTGTGTACACTCTTGTGGGCCTTGCTGCTCGACCTGTGGTCTGGAAATGCACGGACGACAACAATCGTAAGCTTGAGTTAGGTGAGTGGTGAGGGCAGTGGCGTGTCGTTTACTTTGCAGTACAATTTGCACCTGCAAACGACATGAACTGTCAAGCTTCCAGCTCTGTTGATTGACGCATGATCACGACATGCTGCAACGCCTAAACGAGAGGGAAAGCGTCTTGCGATTCTTGCGCTACACCACAAGCCGTCCTGCCAAACGTGTTGACACCCAACTCTATGACAGGTTTTCAGCTCAATCTACGCCGTTTACACATTCCAAATGACGGAAACGCTGCTTTAACAAGCGATGTTACAGCTTCGCAGGCCCGCAACTCGCTGGATCTGGGTACGATGTTGCCATCAAGTCCAGGAGATGGTTCGTGGGTCAGTGCTCCGACCATCGTACGTTCGAATTGGTTGATGCAAAGAAACGTCCCTCTCTTACATCGAGACGATGTAGAGTCGATGCAGTCTCTGTCTCCACTTGGGTTGTCCCATTGCGATGTGCCATCCTTTTCATACAGCCACACCAGCAACCGTGCGGCAGGTCTACCCTCATGTCGATGATGACGAAGCTGACGTTATGGAGGAGGGCTAACTCAAGTTTAAGTTCCCCGACGTCAAAACTTCTTCTAGAAGAAGCCACAGTCTAGAAGAAGTTTTTGACGTCGAGGAACTTTTCGATCAAGTGCTTGAGACGGAATGGTGCCGCCGAGGGGCTCAAAATAAGAGTCAGGAAAAGAATCGGCTTTGAACGGACTTTCACGCGACAGCCACGTTCCTTGACAAGTTGGAGGCTATACTGGTACTTGCGTCGGTCGATTTGGTAGGAGGTGTTTGTGTTCCAAAGCTCGATGTGTACCGGTAAAAGCCTTGTTTGCTGACCTTTGGTTGTAATCGTGCGCAACGAATAACACCGATGACACCTGTATACATGTTTACCTGAGAAGAAATGTGATTGACCGCCGTCAGATGCTTCGATCATTACATAAGAAGCAGTTAAATATAAGCTACGCAGGTATTGAGCTGAACACTCGCGATGGGACTTTCGATGAGCTCACGAGTTTCGGATACGTTTAACGAGGTTGGCAAGCACTGCTGTGGTTATTATGCTAAGTACAAATACGTTTGGTGACCATTTGTCAAGCAGCGTGCGCTTACTAGCACGAGTTCATCGAGTACGAAGAGGCAGTGAATCAGTGAGTAGGGAATACGGCACCTGAAGAGTATGCCAATATGAAGAAGGTAAGCTTGTTGTATACTGTATTGAAGCTTGCTCAGTGTTTGACCCGAAGACTTGTGCATGCTGTTCAGTGTGCACTGTTGACCAGGATGATCAAGTGTAACTCAATGCATCAGCGAATACTCTCGAGGTCAAACCGGGCATCGCTCCATGTTACTGACGTGCCTCGAACGACGTAGCATTCCTGGCAATGGATCACGCAAACCGACTGCTTTGCATTCATTCTGTATCGGAGTGAGTCCATTGCATGACTTTGACATCGCGTAAATGTCAATGTGAATACAATCCTAGCGGATGATGTTCAACGACATCACCGCAGCAACATCGACCCAAGAATGTCACCTCTAGCGATGACATTTGACAGCATCTGACAACACGCAACGCATTGGCTGGTAAACAGCATCATTCAACAATATCACCAATCAACAATATCGCCAAACAACAGACGCACACAGTGCGTGCTGAGCAAGTAGTCAGCGTACACATTCGTAGTTCGGTATAATTACGGAAGATTTACGACATACTATATTTGAAGACTACTTGTACTATGAATATGCTCTATTTTCACTCTTCAGCCTAGCGTTTGGTTGATTTACGCTTCCATACATGACAGGATACGTGAGGCCTTGGCGAACCTTCTAGATTGCTGCCGGTCTAGATTGATTTACACATTCCTGTCATCAGTGATAGCGTCAGCTGCCCCGTTTCACATACAATGAGTACTAACGCTTCTACACAACAGCGTGTCGGTCTGGTACTTACTGCACAGGAACAATCTTGGTACAACACGTTTGTAATCGTGACACTGAGCATTTTTGATCAGGCTTTACATGCACCCGACCCGACCGTACAAGGGTTTTGCAGGAGCATCTGAACGTAACTGTCGAAACTGATGACATCGAGAGTATCGTCGTGAAGTCCATGTCACAATTCAGCTATTGGACATGCTTGTGCAATGTTGTCGAAATGATGTGCGGCAGTGCAAGTGATAAGACCTGTATTCCTTGTGGGAGTCACACTATTGCGCATTTAGCCGTAGATCAAGTCCCTGCAACAAGCTGTGGCGCTCTTGCATCGTGATTGTGAATTCGACATCACTCAGGCATACAACTAAGCTTATAGGGGAAAATGACAAGTCCTGGCACTCAAATTGTCGATATTGTCCACACGTTTGGTGTTACATATGCGCTCAGCTCGGCGGGTAGCATCAAAGGTGTTTTGTTAAAGGTTGCTCGAACAGAAATCATCGAAGAAGATAGCAAAACAAACCGAGTGCATGGTTGTCCATCGCAAGAAAGCACGGAGACATGGCCGGGTGATGCGATTTTTGCGTCTCTGTATGGCAGAAAAGGCGGCAGAGATCGTCTCGAACCAGATTAACTAGCTCACGGTTAGGACAGAATGTTTATGCAGTAGCATACGCTATGATAGAACAGTGCAGTGAATACGAAGTTACAAGCTTACAAAGGTGAACTCGTAAGTTACAAATATTTCTAACATTGCACATGTAAATAACGTGCGTCGCAATATTTCGATACGAAACGAGTCAAGGGTATATCGGATACGGACGCATATACACATGCCTAGGAACACAGAGACTTAAGACATCGAATGTTGATCGTCTCACGAGTAAGTCGTCACATAACAAAAGGGATCGAGCATTTGCGTTTGCCTCGCGATGCAAATCAGATCTGCATTCGTCGATCATTATGTTATTCACCGCAAGCACTGTTTGACAATCAAGCCCTATTGCCATTGATCAACAACGATGAAGTCAAATGGTGGTATAGTTTCACGCAACCGTCGCCCCGCTTTGCTAAGTCGGTTCATTTGACATGACGTGAATGTGGCATAACTAGTTGCACCTATGCTAGATGCTTTGATCAGTTCACGAAGCTTATACACCATTTCGAGTTGACTTTATCTTCTGCAAGACCACCATTTCCGTCTTCGCACATTCATACTCGGTTTAGCCAGTGCTCACTTAGGATCCTTGTATCGCCACCTCCTACTAATCAAAAACCACCACTTCTACTGTGCGCAATAAATGCCAGAGATGGAAAGCTACGAAGAGGAATAGCGAACTAGCAGCGTTTTCAAAGCATCGGGTATGATAGTCAAAGCGATATTTTCAGCCAGTAACTGAGCACAATCTTAAGTGCAACTGTCCATTTCGTGTGGTGTCAAATGGTAAGCAATAGTTCAGTGTGCACACAAACAGCCATTTCTTCGATCTGTATTTGTACCTCCAACAAAACCGCTTTGCACTCTTTTTTAGTATCCGAGCGTCTGAGGCGTCCCGTAGATATGCAGATGCAAATCAAAGAGCCGAAGAATCTTCCGCCGACGAAACGACCACGACCTTCGGCCGGAAAGTGTCTTCCTCATTGATCCGAATGAACTAGAATGGAGATGGATTCTCGTACCGATATGCACAGGTTTGCCGCTCTTCGAAGTGCATATCACTCGCAGACAATTTCGTTCTTGTATCTGCGAACCCGATGGGCTAAGCTGTTAGTGAGTGTGAGTACATCGTGATGTTTGGACCTATTCGTAGACACATTATGTGTGTCGGTTTGACTGAAGAAGTAATGCACACGTACGCAAGATATTGTCTAATACACCGATCGAGTGCTCACAGTGTAAATGAGCAAACGCTTGACGCTCTTAATCGACGAAGAATTCTAGTGCTCAGCACTATAACATCAGACAGTCCACCCCAGTCAGTTCATGCGATCAAGCATGTACCCTGATCGGGCGTCACAAGGGGAAATACAGCTGATGTTGACTTAGCACGAGTCCTGTATAATCGAAAAATTGCCACTTACGTGATGGCGAAGTTTAGGAGAATGGCGTTTGCTTGGCAGACGAATATACGTGGAGCTGTGGTGCTGTCTACAGTAGAGACGTCGAGGTCGTCGAGAGACTAAGTGGTGACAGGGATGGGCAGCTAAATGTTACGAAGTGGATCTCGCCGTGAACCCCAAACATTCGGTTTATGATCATGAATATCGATAACGAGCTGCCACTAAGCAGGTAGCTATCGAAAGTAGTAGCGCTTAAGCCAAGCACGTTAAAATCAAGCTGGCATTGTGCACGATTGGCGTCTTCGGTTTCTTCTCAATACAATCCACGTGAGCGTCTATAACATACGAGGAGACAGGCATTCTGACAAAGGCTTTGGGTATCCTTCGCGTTACGGAACTTCGCGACCAATGAGGATTGCATAAGTGACATCATCTCTGAAATTGAGAAGTGTGTCAGACGGCGGGTAGAGTGTATCAGTTCGGGAAATAGAGACGTTGCCCTGAGATGCTGTCGGAGTCTACAGTCTATTTCAAAAAGTGCGATTGGGTGCCAGACCTGTCACCACAGTCGGTGGGAGGTTGACAGAGTACGATGTTTAGCTGCAACAAGCAGAGCTCGTATTCATCACAATGAACGGACGCAATTCTTACGGGTGTTTACACTAAATCACGAATTCTTATTATGTAGTGGGAAACAAGGGCTCGACACCTAAGATTGACCCACAGTTGTCGACAACATACAGCGACGACAGCAGATCCGACGTTAGCTCGAATGTCCCAGCACGCCATGTCGAAGGCAAAAGTACCGGTAGTGTCAGTTCGAATGCGGTATCGACGACTGTCGAAACATCGGACTCGGCGGCAAATTAGTAGGAACCAAAGAAGAAAAAGGGCGATCTGGCGCAACTTGCATAGCCCTATTTATGAATGCAACAACAAGTCAACGGTTGAGCTTTTGGACAGGAAGGTGCATCCTATTGACAGCAAGTACTACTCAGATTGTGACCAGCCGCGAGAATGCTTCTGCTACGAAGGGAAGCAATCGCAGTTTTTCGATGCTGGCTTCATTGTAGCGCTCTCTACTACATCTTTGTTGAGCACATTCGTTCGATCGTGATGACGAGTAATTTACGACGAATTGTAGCTGTGTCAATAGTTCTGATCCTCTGGTCCAAGCAGCGACAAGTATACTGTTGTCGCCGCGCGTGGGACCGTGATGTCCAATGTCATATCACGCTCATGGCGTGCATATCGATGAAATAGAGGATCATTACAAAACGATGTGCCCAACACCGCACCGGTGAGCGCAAGCAGAGTAATTGGTCCCACCTCCCGCGCCTGTTTGGTCCAAAGGACAGACGTTTTCGAGCCCCGTTCCTCGATACCTGCTGGGGTTTGCAACGTGGGACTATTCGTCCATAGAGAGAGCAGAGCCTCTGGGAGTCGCAGCCTTCGAACCTCTTGCTCAGGTCCGGCATGACTTCCCATCGGCTGCCTTCGAGCCGGATCGACAGCGACCAGCTGCACAGCGTCCCACCACGCGCCCTAGAGACTCGACCGGCCGCCAGAACGTCGGCGGTCCAGTCGTCGCCATCGCCGTCCCAGTCGCCCCTTTTCATGGCGCTCGCGACGGCAACAGAGACAGCGCCAAAGCGGCTGAACAAGAAACGCAAAGCGACGCACGCGATCCGACGGGAGGAAAAACTGACTCTGGAGAACAAAGTGGCGGAGCTCGAAGCGGCGCTCGCAGAGATCAAATGTCGAGCGCTGTTGTCCCAGGGGCACGCGGCCGAGTCGTGTCGGGAGACGGCAGTGGAGAACGCAGTGCTACGTGAATGCATTCAGGACCACCACATGGCCATTGCCCACGTGCAAGCGCTGGTGTGTGGGCCGCCACTGCACGACGCGAGTGGCGTGCGACCGATGGAGGCCAAGATCTGTCTCAGTGCAGACCGAGTAGAGCGGAGGCGCGTACTGCATGGACTGCGACGCGCGAAACTGCGTCGAGTGAAAGGCTTTCTGCACGAACGGAGCTACGGCATGAAGACAAACACGTCGTGCTTCCAGGAAGAGAGGTACGAGTCGGTCGAGGGGGACTACTTTATCACGCGGTTCGAGATCACGCCGCTTCGCGGCGTGCAAGGAGGTGTACGAGCTGTATTTGAGGCCGTTCTGCAAGCCGCAGTCAATATCGAGATTATCATCTCCGAGACATCGGGAAACATCACAGTTCGTGAAGACGACGATATGTACGACGACAGCGTCTCGCAAATGCGACTCGTGTCCGAGACAAAGCAAGGCGTGCTCGTGGAGAATAACCTCGTGCATTTCTCCGAATATTTGCAAGGCAAATGTGGGTCAGATGGCGACGGTGATTATGCAGTGTCAGCATTGGACTTTGTCGACGAGGATATGCTGTACCCATATCGACCGCTTGAACGAATCCGTCGTGATGCAACGACGGCCATGCTGCTAACGTCATATCGAGAGCCCCGCTCGACACGTGGCCGAGAACAGTCGAAGAATGAAGGAGAGGTCGTAGTGGTGGTCACGCGTTGGTCTCGTGTGAGGATATGCCATACAGAGATGGACGTTTCTCGCAAAGTGCTGCAGGAGCTTCGTGCAAATTGTGTACGATCTCAAGATACCTTTATGAACTGTGTGCAAGAGGCACTTGGTCTTTCCGTGGACACAGCATAGTCGAGCTTGTTAGCTTGTGCACAGCTTGAATGCTGCATGCACGAGTGTGTCCGATGTAGACTACTGCGCCGTGGACAATGCTAAGCTGAACGATCACGGGTTGTGCGCCACACAAGCCATATAGCCATTGTGGGTCTCTAGTGGTCGTTGCTCGGAAGCTCATTCAGCATCCACCCGATCACTTGTTGGAGGCCGCTGATCACATTTTGAGCAGAGAGACAGAGTCTCAAAGCTGCCGGCGAAAGCAAAAAGAGGCAGAATCGAAACGCGTGTGTTGCAACGAAGCTTTCGCGTTGTAAAGTTGAAAGTCGAGATGGTGTCGAACTCGATTCGGCTAGTCTGGAAATGGGTCATTTGCCAGAGAATTGGCCTGTATTTACTTCTCGGCCAGACAACGCCAACAAGTTGATGTGAGTAGTATGGTGAGCTTGCTTAACTTATTCAGGTGCTCCCACATTGCTAGCTGCTGAACTGGATGGCGGACTACACTTCCGCGCACGAATTATCAGCGAATCTTGGGTGTGACATGGCTTGTAAATTCGTCAATGAGCAAGCAAGGCAAGTCATGTGGTATCATGAATGATTAGTACAATAATAGGATCTATTGACAGTATACTTGCTTGATAAAATAAAGTCCATTAGAGGCAATAGCCTCCACTCCGGGGTCATGTGTATACATTCATTACGAAGCCCATCCAACTTATTTATCTTGTGTAGTGCAGTCATGACTGCTTCTAGCCAATCGCTGATTAGTTTAATGAGAGCAAGTTGGATACATGTTGCAGATGACAGGCACTGCTGATTCTCAAACAAATATCAAACAAATGTGCTGACTGTTTTCTGTCAGATCCTAAGTTTTCGTGCCTGACGACTTACCGCTTAGTCATTCTGATCTGCTGCTTGAGCCTTCACACCCAGGTTTGTTGCCGCCATGTGGTGCGTGTATGCGACAAAGTTAGCTCGTGGACTAGGATGTAAGATCAAAAGTACGAGTGGTATCGGAGTCTGTTTGATTCGCGACCGCTACGCCTCCGCGCCAGATCTACAGGTCCCTGCTGACGTGTATCGTCCAGCTCATCGCGTATTGGAGCTTTGACGTACTCCGTGAGAAGCTTCTCTACCCTTGCTGTTTCACGCATCGGACGGAAACATGACACATATGGAGGGATCGTAGTCTCGAAGGGGACCAAACACAGGATAATATTGAACGCTGTGTATGATAGCCCCACACAGACAGTTGACAATTGTACAATGCGCTTCCGTGCTTAGATCGTCGGTATCGGCCACACGAATGGGACCGATTGCAATGAGCTCAACTAGTCCGTAATGACGAAGTCAAAAATCTCATGCACACTTTTACGCAGCTAGTGATTACATATCTTTCTGCCGAAACAATGAACTCAATTAGGAAGTGATGTCTCCGTCTAGAATGTCAAATCTCTTAGTTGATCAGGACAGCCCGTTCCAGCATTCGTTTTTCCGATACTTTCTCACGTAAGTAACCCCTCGCTCGATGAGACGCCTCTGTACTTTGTTACCGACACTACCGCGGCAAAAGAACGTACCACATTCGAGCGACCTGGCCATCGATTTCTATCTGCCCATTAGAAACGGACCGAAACCCAGCTCCAGATCAACTGGCTGGCGTCGCGATCGAAAAGACAGACCCGGTGGGAATAATATGCCCCGAGAGGACACGAAGCGACGTAAGTCAGCGATGAACCCGCGTGCCCACTTCCCCCTCGTCACATACACCGTACACAGCGCTTGTGACTGATTATTGCGCTACCATTTGACGGTCGTTTTAGGTACGCGCCTTGTGGATGAGGACGACAGCGAGCCGGTAGAATTCACCACGTCGAAGGACATTTCTATCTTTCCGTCGTTCGAGGCCATGGGACTGAAAGAAGACCTTTTGCGGGGCATTTACGCATACGGTACGTGGATCTTATTCCGTTTGCGTTCGAAATGAAAAGCGCCTGTGCCACTGCTATGTCGTGTGAGTCACTGTATTCATTAGAACATCGTACCGCCGTCACTTTTCCTCGTTTCTATGTGGTGTGCGCCAGGGTTTGAAAAGCCATCGGCGATCCAGCAACGTGCGATCAAACCGGCGATCCAGGGCCGGGACCTCATTGCTCAGTCGCAGTCTGGGACCGGCAAAACAGCAGTGTTTTCGATCGCCATCCTGCAATCTCTCGACACTTCCAGCAACGAGACGCAAGCGCTCGTGATCTCACCGACTCGTGAATTAGCCGAGCAGACTCAAAAGGTGGTGCTGGCTCTTGGAGACTACATGAATGTGCAGTGCCATGCCTGCATTGGCGGCAAGAGTGTGGGTGAGGACATTCGTCGACTGGACTTTGGTGTGCAGGTGGTGTCCGGTACACCCGGTCGCATTTTTGACATGATCCGACGTCGCAACTTGCGCACACGGAACATCAAGATGCTGGTGATTGACGAAGCCGATGAGATGCTGAACAAAGGCTTCAAAGAGCAGATTTACGACATCTACCGCTACTTGCCGCCGTCGACCCAGGTACTTTTGGTGTCGGCTACCATGCCGCAGGAAGTACTCGACTTGACGCGCAAGTTCATGAACGAACCGGTGAAGGTCCTGGTGAAGCGCGATGAGTTGACGCTAGAAGGCATCAAGCAGTTCTTTGTGGCTGTAGAGAAGGAAGAGTGGAAGTTTGACACGCTGTGCGATTTGTACGACACGCTGACAATCACGCAGGCTGTGATCTTTTGCAACACGAAACGAAAGGTGGACTGGCTTACGTCCAAGATGCGCGAGGCCAACTTCACCGTGTCGGCGATGCACGGTGACATGCCACAAAAAGAACGTGACGCTATCATGCAGGAATTCCGGTCAGGCGGCTCACGTGTGCTTATCACCACGGACGTCTGGGGTCGTGGGCTGGATGTGCAACAGGTGTCGCTGGTTATTTGCTACGACTTGCCGAACAATCGTGAGCTGTATATCCACCGAATCGGTCGTTCTGGTCGTTTCGGCCGCAAGGGTGTTGCTATCAACTTTGTCAAGGATGACGACGTTCGCATTTTGCGAGACATCGAGCAGTACTATAGCACGCAGATTGATGAGATGCCTATGAACGTGGCGGACCTCATTTAATCACTTGGTGAGCTTCGAATGTGTTCTCTTGCTTCGGATTGATGCGCTCGTTGCTGCTGAGCGGGAAACAGTTCCCCTCTTTACCACGGCAAAGTGAAGTAGCTTTTGATTGCATGCGTCATATGAGATTCAGTCAATTGAACGGCACGACTGTTGATGCTGCTCAAAGGCATAGCATATCGATTGTCGACCGTCAGCTCAGTTCTTGGTTAATTTCTTGAATGGAACCCGTCGTTGGCTTCAAGTTCTCCGTAGTCATTAGCATGACATCTTGGCTCATGGTTCTCCTCCAAGCGCCCACTGTTCCGTTTGACCACGTCTCTCTACTTCCATGCGTTCACAATTGCAAGCACACAGAAGACATTTGTAGCGCTTCATCCATGTAAGTAAACTCACCAACCCGTACATTACTTGTAGTCAGCAAAGAACATGTCACTGACGCGTGTGGCAACTTTCAGTTTGCTCTCCAGCAGCATAAACAGAACCACCGCTCGGTTCGTATAGGCAAACGCAAGTTGATGCCATATTTCGAAGAGTAAAATTCACGCAAACTTGACAGAGTGACGCTTTCGTTGCATCCGTCAAGCTGCAACGCATAAGTGAGCAAGAAACAATGTCGTACAAAGTCACGCCTGCAATGTCTGAGACCGCTCACTGTGGTCCAAGTTACAGTTATATTCATGGGGACGCCTCGTGCTACTTCGTCGACGCATATACGACTACGTCGGCTTCAGTTGATGGCGGGTCATTGGTGACCGGAAAAGGCAAGCGCAAGGAATATGCAAGAAGAGGCCGATGAAGGCGGCAACTACATGTGGTTGCTTGTGTATGGTTGACAACGAAGTACTGTAATATGGCACGATCAAACAAGGGACCTGTTGACGCAAAATGATACGGTCTTCACATGCCGCTGCCATCGATGTCGTGATCGATCAAACACTTCGAGTAGAAGAAACAGGTGTTGAGTCTTGCAAACCTTGCAGCTCTGCGACCCCTGGCACTCAAACGCCCACCACGACTTCGATACAGGCGGCTTCATGCTGGTCGCTTCGTGCTCATTGGTTCTTAGTAAAACCATTGCGTTCAGCTCGCTTTGCACTCTAGTGAATGGAGCAAGTGATACTAACAATCGATGCCATGCTCACTGACAGCTTCGACTGCATCAGTTTCTATGTTTGTAAGGCACGTGATACAGCATTACGATTTGCGAGTCGGATGATCATCATACATTGCACTCATTGAACGCTCTACAGGCTAAAGCGCTAATAACGTGCGTCTCCCTCTGATGTGCCCGAGCTGCATGACGCTGTAACCTGCTTGTTGGGGCTGTCTGTACAAGCAATGCACAAAGCACAGCTAGTTGTTTTGGCAACGGAAACAGTTACATCTCTTTTCCGTCCAAGAGCAAAAGGTATAGGCAGAAGCGCTGATTAATTATTTTACAATCGAAAACCTCTGATATGACGACACAAAGGTACTCGAGCGCTTTCCGTTAGTAACAATTTGTTACAATGAGGCAGACAATGGAAAGCGACACTGTCGGATTTCGTCTCATACGCTGTATGCGACTTGTTGTGCCTTCCATATAGTGCAGACAGGAGATACTCGAGTATCTGGCTTGACAGGTCGGGCGAAACCCTTAGAGTGCCTGAAAGGCATGATGCAAAGTTGTGGAAGGTGTGCGCTTCTTGTGATATTGCTCGTAGTAAAAGATCACGTATGTGCTGATGACACACATGCAAGTGCTGATCTTATGCTATCGCTACCTTACGCATTTTGTATCTCAGCAGAGTATCGTCTCGCGCAAAGAGGCCAGTGAGTGGAGTTGTGCGTGCGTAAACAACGGCATCAGCCAGAAGCGGCATTACCAAAAATTAGTCGTCGAGAAGTTGCAAAGCTCTATTGGAACCGTCATGCTACATTGCATGATGTCAAACTCTGCGTATAACTCCGTCAAAATAAGATACACTAACCATTGACAGCTTCCCGGATAGACTGAACTTCAACCTCACCCCAGCTCGCGATACCTTCCTTCAGCGAGCGCATGGCATTTCTTGGAATCTCAAACGCAGGTCTGTGCATCTTCATAAAGGCGGCACGCTGCATAACAACCACGACATCGTCCCTGCTGCCAGCTCTTGGAGCATCCTTGTCGACCCCGTTCCTAATTTCCTGCTCGCCCTCTGTTGACTTGGGCGATGTACACGTCATTTGGGTGAGCACAGTGGTGGCACTAATATCGATTCGCACTCGCTTTTGAGACTCGTATGGGTACAGATCATCAACATCCACGCTGTCCGTGACCATCACCGCACAAGGTCTCCCACCCATCAGTGCCGACTCTTCGAGATATTCCGTTAGCACGACCTTGTTCACCTCCGACGTGATCCCATACGTGTCAGTCGATACTAACCGGTAGTTCCAAATCGAAGTGCTGTCGTCCATCGTGTCGTAGTCTTCACGAACAGTCGTGTGTCCCAAAGCTTCGGAAATCGTAATTTCCATATTCAGCATAAAGTACTTGATAGCGTCAAACACCTGCTTCAGCGACTGCACGCCCGTGAAATGAAAAAACTCAAATCGATCACAACAAAAGTTTCCATCGGTGTCTTCGTAGCGGTGGTCCATGAGCTGCGGTTTCATGAGGTCTAGATGCTGGCTCCGAGCCATTACATATTGACAACCTCGTGCGATCATGTCACCTTTGAGGCTCAGCAGCGCTTGACGTCGCTCCGACCACTCTTTTGGCATGTAAACGTGTCTGCACAATGGACTGCCGATATGACTCTCCTATAAGGCCACGAAACCACAATCACATCCAGGTCAGCATCAAATGACGTGCATTTCCACTACGAAGAATCGAAATGTCGGTGTATATAGGCGCACGCACGTTGTCGTATACTAAAGAGTACCTGCATCCCCGCGAGCAACGATTGAGCTTTTGCTACTACCAGCTGCTGAGTATGTATAAGATCTCGGAGGTTATTGTTCGTGCTCATGACGTCTAGAATTTGGGTCCAAGCACTCTTTGGGCGAGCCTGGATGTCTGCGAGAAGACTCTGGAGAACGCTCAGCTCTTGCGCAAGTTTTCTTTTCTCATCCTGCTGCACCAGATACGAAGGTCTGCGGCGCCTGGATGCGTGGCGTTGTCGGTCCATGATGCAATCACTTTTTATAAATCGCGTCCAAGAGTTGGCGGGTTTTGCTTTGTTTTAGTATCGGCTCGAACAAAAACAGTATAATCGACATCGAATTATTTTTGATCCGAGCCTATTCTGCCGAGATCAAAAAGACACAATTCGATAGCGTGACCAGTAGTGGTACGATAGCTTTTCGCTCTACCGAATGTGTCCTCCGGCGAAAGAACGAGAAACGATGCTCGAACTATCGAGGCCTTGCTTCGATATCACAAACAACGCTCCGAGACATTTACTTTGGTCGTTCTCAAATCAAGAACATCTGTGCGAACTTGATATAGGACTAAAAAAGAACTTTCACCTCCGAGATCATGTGATCATAGTTGCAAAGGAGCTATGACGAGTCGAGACCACGTCAAAGCTTGCGGGGCCTCACACCTATACATGTGTACACAAGTATAGATTATATAAATACAGTGCACACTAGCAAAAACGCGAGAATATGAGCTTCGATTCATTCCTGTTTTTTTTTCGACGGCTGCGGTTCAGAAATGCGCAAAAGCCTCGGTTTGGTTGCGCTGACATGTTTGCGTAATGGTCAGTCGTACGAGGTGGTGACTTGCTTGCATATGTATGCTTTCGTAATGGGCCCCAACACGAAGCCATCGCGCGTTTCTGAATTGTAATATCGATAAGCTCGACTAGAAGTTACCATTCTCACGGTTTTTGGTGCGCACTGTACGACAGATGGGACAGTCAAGTTTAATTGAAAACTCTATTGCAAGCAGCGTTCAGCTGACTTGGGATGTGAGAGAGTGATAAGGAGAAACAAACGGACATGAACAAACCATGCTGCGAAGGAATGCATTTTTCATTCCAGCTGATCAACGTCAACACTGCGTCTTCTTGAATGCAGACATGTCTTGGCGAGCTGTGAATGATGCAGATGGATCTGCTGTCTCTACACATAAACAAACAGGATTTGTTCTAATTTATCTGCTCCCGGGTCTGAAGCTGTGAAAGCCGAATGAGATAATGCAATGCGGAGTGGAAAGAGGTCAGGTGCATAGCGTCTTTGGTTTTGTAATCGTAGAGATAGCTGAAGAGACGTGAGCTGTTGTATACTGAACAAAAACTGCCTACTTGTGTTAAATTATGCACGAGCGGAGATCGTGGCAGTATAAGGTGTTATCGAGGTGACGTTGGAGTGAGTGAGGCTCTTGATCGACAAGTGCTTTAGACATTACTGTTATGCATATGGACAATCGTTTCTTCTTGGCATGCACCATATTGACCACATCATGTAATACCGATGGGACAAGCGAATACTAGGTTCGAGTAGACTGCCGACAGGAGTGGGTTTGCAACACAGTATACATTGATCGGCAGGGAGCTATATGAGAGGATCCCATCCATGAGTGAGCGTATGCTTGAGTCAAAAATCGTAATACTATACCTCCTAGGTATGTGGGTGAGGCGGCTTCGTGCTAAGGAGTTAGCTATTGCTGGCATTCGACCATTCGTGAATGGAAGTAAGCATTCATTGACTTTCATGCGAACGATCGTACTGAAGACCCGAACATCAATGTATCGTTAATAAGAGCGGGACACGTTCGAGTTCAAGTAGGATTTCTGGAATGGCATGTGACATGTCAATGCTTGAGTAATTTGTAACAACGACGCGTTATGTATGAGATATGAAAAAATCACGTGGAAAGAATTTCACAGATGGCTGTATCGCCTACGAAGGAAGAAGCATGAAGGAGCATTAGTCGTGAAAGATAGATCGCTTCTCCAGACTGCATTTTAGTGGTGCACTCTGGCCGATCAAAGACTCTCTTGTCCGCATAAGTGAAGATGACAGCGACTGACTTGGAGGTGTAAAATGGATCAATTCGAATCTATGATGGCGTTCAGGGAAGATCAAGCCAAGGTAGACCTCGAGGCATCGTTGGTGCATACGACTCGCATCTAGTGAATACGAATTTGGAAACAAATGAGATGTATAAGTTCAAGACGGTGATACTGTGAATAGTAAACGAACGCATGCAGTCAGCAAATACTGGACAGGCTGGTAGATCATGCGACACCTATCCGATCTGTCGTTCAGGTATGAAGTTGACTACATTCGTAGACCAGTAGCTGTCTTAGAGATTTTATACGATCATCGGTTGGCAAGTCTGTCAAACGAAGTCGTATCCTAGAGCAGGAACTTTCCCGGCTGAAAAATCGCGGTATTTGTAATGCATTCTCGTAATGACGTTACGATCACTTACAAACAATGCATAACAATCCACAGGATTGCAGATGCATTACATTGAGCACAACTAACACTAGATGGAAATGATAGAGACTTCATGCATTATAAACGAGGGAAAGGTGGCAGTATCCTACAATCTTGCACGAATAGGAACCCATTTAGTACTTAACGTTTCTGTGATGGGGAGTCTCACTCCATAGACCACACGCGGACACGACATCCAGAAAAAATATGTCACGAACACGGATAACTGTACAAGGTAAATGACTTGGACAATCGTATGCGAGCCTACACGATCTTCGCGATACGACAACATCATGTGTCAGGACTTATTCGAAATGCTCCCGCAACATTTGAATGTCATACATGGGGTGCCATAACAAAATGACAGCACTTGGGACACCCAATGGCTAACGATATTGATTCAACGACGCTGTCTAGTGTGTTGATAAACATATCGTGAAACAGGGGCTAAACCCGTCATCTTCCAATAAGATAAATCACCCGTGCCGATACTTGATTACGCTAGAATTGTTGACGCGAAGAGTGACAGAACAATGAAAAACGATTCAGCATATTTTTATGTCAGCTGGTGTTGTTGCGGCTGCATTGGGTCGGTCGTGCCTTTGTGTCGTCGAACAGCCATGGTAGAAGGGTCCGGATATCGGTAAGCACAATTGTTCCTGCTGATTTCGATCACACATGTGTCGAAAGGCAGTGACCAATTTGTACAGGGTGGATACGACGTTGCATAGGCGGGTCTTGATTCCAAAGTAAATATTCTGTTGGAGTCCTTTCATTGCCGCACCGAGCTCGCTGGGACACATTTCTAGGCGTGGAAAAGAGGGTCTGGCTTGGGGTCTTATATGGACACTGTCCACTTACGAGCCTAAGAGAAACAATCATTAGTGTTTCTGCATTAAAAATGTGATGGGCATTCGATTTGCTTCGCTATACAAGAAACATATTGACGTTAAAGGGGATTTCGTTTATTCGCGTGATTTTAGCAAAGGGACGGCCGGTTCACATGCAACAGATAGTCAAGCTACCGCGCACGTGATCAATGGGCCTACCCACCAGACATGCGTCCTTTATACCAAGTACGTTTGTTGTGGTACAAAGCTCCTTTGCATGGTAAAATATGCTGCGACAAGTCGGGACTCGACATCATGGATGATGTGTTCTTCAACAGGCAAATAAAGAGTAAGTTCTGATCTACCGCCAACGAAATAAGTGACGACATTAAGTCAGCTTGGAAACAGGGCAACAAGGCGTGGCGAGTGTAATTCCGTGCTAAATCAATCTTCGTGCGTACGGCTGCGCTACGACCGGTGCTAGATGACTGTGGCACCAACAGCATTTAGCAGAGCACAGTCAAAAAATTGCCAGATTGATACCAGTACAATAGATAGCAAATAACCTTGTTTGCGGGTCATCGCTGTCAAAACAGTCACCGCACAGACTAAAGACCTGCCAGTATATCAAAGACCTTCGTCCAGATATTCGACAAAGCACGCGAATATATATTTTTGGTTTGCAAGGAGACCGAACGTTTGACTCCGATTCAATCAACGTCTTGCACACTTAAAAGCCTGGCATCATGTCGAGAATATTGTCGAATAGCTTGAGCAACAATTTGTACGTAGGCTTGCCAATTTTCCACCAAGGTTTGACGGTGGTATACAATCTCTTCAGGTATTGTATGATGTGTTTCCAGGGCGGCATGTCTTGATGCGAGATTCCCGTCAAATGTTCTTGCGCTGGTCCCACAGGCACGTGAGACGTCACAGGTAAGTGAGGCATCACATGCATCAAATGTCTTTCCGCGTGACCCTCGATGTCTCTCCCCTCTTCGCTTCTTGTTCTGTGCGACTGCACGGCGTCGCGGTCTTAAGTGGGCAGGAACGCCTTTGACGTCCCAGAAACATCCGACGCCGACGTTGGCTCACAGAACGCAGAAAGTGAGGCGTCCACGTCTAGAAGAATGATGATTGCGCGCACGTTTGGCCACATTGTGTTCGAAAGCGCGAGTTGGTCTTAGAGACACGTTGATTGTTGTTCAACTGCGAATTTGTGCAAATGACGAATCGGGATCACGCTACAACCTGGGCGCCAATCGCTCGTTCTATCGCTGCGCAGTGGGACTCAGCCTTATGCTCATTTACACCTCCTCTTCTGCCTGTTCCAAAAGCTGATTGCAGTAGTGCATGGTAAAATATTTCGACCAGCTTCTCGGCCCAAGCTCAAGTCAGCAGTAGAAAGGGCATTACAAAGATGTCCTGAGACAATCTTGTTGTCTCCGCGCCTTCATCTAATGTCGACAACGACATGCGCGTGATCACTAGCCGACACAATGGGTTTGTTTGACAAAGCATGCCGTCGCGTTTCATTAATCCTGCTGCACAACCTAATGCTGCCACCCGCATGCCTCACACGCGACGTGTTCTCAGTTGTTAGGTGAGAATCGACCTGACTTTTCTTCTCCCTCAGAAAAACATACAAGAGGTTTCAAAACTTGACGCTGACCAGAGAACAGTTCTCCAAACCAATGCCTTGCTTGTGGTTTGACTCAGAGCCAGGCGACTCGCTTGCGACCAGTTTTCTTGACGTAAAAAACACTTTTCTGGGAATCTTGACGCACATGTTTTCCATAATCTAGGGATCTCTTGGGTAATTTCTTTGATGAAGTATCCTGCACAAAGTGATAATTTCATGTAGGAGTTCTGATCGGGCGTCTACTGGATAAGTTCAGTGGCTTCAT